GACTGTATGCAGTATTGAGGTCTGCACTGAAGAGAAAAAAGGAAGAAAAGACACTGAAAGTATAAGTGCAAATGTGTACACAACCACTTGGTTTTCTTTTATAATTTTATTTAGAGAAAATAGTGATTGTTTCTTTAGGATGCTCTAACCCCAAAGACAGAGGCATCCATGTACCTGCGTAGTTGGTATCAGATAATTTTAAAAGCACTACTGTACTTGCATCTGGGCTTTACATGTCCTCGCAGCCTTTCTAGCAAGCCCATATAGACTGTGATAGCTTTAACTAGCATTTGGCAACTTGTTTCTCAGAGTCCAAGGATTATCTTGTTGCTTAATAGTCAGAAAGAGATTCCTAAAGCTGTGTCTGTAGGACAGGCTTCCATCTTCTGGTTCAGCTGTCTTCTGATCAGAAATCATGAGCCATAGAGTAGTGGGAGACAGATGAATGAGCAAAGCTTCTCTTGGCAGAGCTGCAGACTTGAATGTTGGGAGTGCAATAAGAAGAAATGTTTTAGTGACATGTTATAAACAAATAAAGCAACCAAATCCATCTCAGCTCTGAAAGAATGGGCCTTAGTGTGATGGGATAATCTTTTGAGATGTCTGATAGCAAGCTTGAATGGTTTCCAACAAGCAGCTGGAAAAGCCCCGGAGTTCAGAAAATAGTCTTTGTCCTAAACAAATTAAAGGTAGCACCTTTAGTTTAATCTGGTGTTCAAAGTCTTGCTTCTCCCAGAAAAAGGCTTAATGAAGAAAACTGGTAGGCAGGTGAACTGACTGATGTGTGAAAATTGAATCAGAATTAAGATTAGAGTTAAAATTTAGGTGTGGGATGCAGGGGGCTGCCTTGTTTGTGCTATCCTGCTTGGTATACTGGCTACAAGAAAAATAATTTCTACCAAAAAGAAGGGAATCAGCTAGCTCAGTCAGTAATGCACTGACTTTGGGGAAAGAAAATCTTGTCTCAAGGAAGGAACACGTGATGTTCTTCAGGCATCTTATACACAGGATGCAAAAACATCATTTCATCCTGTAGCGGAAGGTATCTAGGGAGAATGCTGCAAAGTATACCGTGGTACACCTGGCAGAGTCTGACTCACATGTAGGGAAGAAAATAGTTAAGTTCCAGTATTTAAGATTCACTGAAGAGCTCCACAGAATATTATATATGCATGTCATTTAGCATTGTAAGTGGCTCTGCAGTAATGTGCCTTGTTCAGATTTAAGGAGGTTGCCAAGACAGCATGAGAGTTACCAGTACAATGGCGCTGAACACTGGACAGCACAGAGCTGTGACTTGTGAAGGCAAAGTCTGCAAGAAACTAGAGGATAATCCACAGAAGGGATGGCAAGTTTGTCAAGACAGAGATGCAGAACTGTCAAATCAATATCAACATTTTACTGCTTGATATTTAAGCCAAAACAAGTGACTCCTTGTTAGTCCATATAATAACATAAATATTCCAGTGTACTTCTGTAAACTACCCTATATCACATCAGGGACTAACTTCCATAGGAATAAAAATTCTTTTTTTTTTTTAGCTCAGTCCTAACTAAAGAGAATGTCTTGTCAAAAGGATCAGTGAAAATTTTACAAGCAATGGTAAGGATTTATTTTCTCCAGCAGTTTTTCTGTTGCAGCAATCCAGAAAAACTGAGGAGGTAGGAGAAAGAATGAATTCCTAAATTGCAACACAGACACGAAAGTCTCTGTTACATACATTTGTTTATTTATTTGTTTATTTATTTATTTTAAGAAATACCAGCACAATAAGATGAAATGGAGATGTGAGTCTGAATTTAGAGTCACAAGGGAGGTAATTATTCAGTGTAAAAAAGATAGAGAGATATACATATATATACACAATTGAATTTCAGCTTATTAGGGGCCGGTTTTCTGGAAGAAAATGACAACTAATATGGAGACAATTGGAAAACAGTGGAATCAATCACATAAGAATAGCATGAATTAGTGAATTATTGCCCTAAGCATTGTCCCAGTTTGAAAGCTGTTGAGGAATCTCCCATAAGGACTTCTGTGTTACTTTGTTTCTGGGAACATAAGGTATGGATGTATATGTATATCCATTTATATTTCATATATAAAGACTTATGTGAGCTGCAATTGATATACTTACCTGTGAGTTACAATTTTTAATGAAGTGCTGATGTCCAGCTGCTCCTCACTTTTGCTGTAACTGGATACAATATCACTGTTGGGTTAGATTCCTCTGAATTCTTTCACATTTCACTCCTTGCTGTACAAGAAGGTACAAAGCACCACATTTCAATGGTATGGGCCCTTACCATGGGGGAGGGTTCCCTCTTGGTAAAGGATTCACTGGAGAGAAATGTTTCTGATGGGTAAGAAAATCCTTTGTATGAGAAGGAGGAAATCTTTATAAAACATGCCTTAAGAAGGATGGCTTTTCAGAAGGGCATTGCAAAATATGCTAACAGGATGTTTATAATAATTTTGCTAATGACATTCCTGAGTAAATAACTGAGGTAAACTGGTTCAGACTTTGCATAAGAGGGACAGCTTTGAAGCTATTCAAAAACTTGGCCTTTTTGAAAGACAGTTAAAATTTCTGACAGAAAATTAAGTATCTACCTTTTGATGTTGAGAGGTGGCATTTAATCTTGGGACTTGAAACATTGTCAGACTTTCAGAGGACTTTCAATTCATTCCAACATTCCTGTCGCATTTTGAGGCAAGGAAATTTTATTGCTAACTCACAAACTAGAGTTTCAAAACTTCAGCGCCCTTTTCCGTAGTCTGTTGTGAGCAGTTCTGTGCTGACAATAGCAGCTTTTTTATAACATTTTATGTTAGAGTGGTTTCTAATAAAGTTAATTCTTCCTTTGGAAACTGGCTTGACATCTGTAAGAAATCTCTGAGTACATCAAAGAACCATATTCAGCCAGACAGACTCAAAAGACTTTAAAGTTCAGGTCTGCATGTATATTGTACACTACATCCTAAATTCTGCTGCAGAAACATCATGTTAGCTATGCTACTGCATTAAAATTATGTGACCCAGCCCAGACACTCTAAACCTAAAAGTAATGGACATTAGTTCAGGGCATCATGGCAAGTTTTGCTATCTCAGTAACAGCATTATTCTGATTCAGCTACATTGCTTTGCATTCTCAAATAAGGACACTCTCCACTGCCTTTGGAGCCACTGCACCATTTTCAGCTGCATGGTATCACCATTCCCAGCGTCAGAGGAGGCTTTTATCAATAATCTGTGCATTATACAGAAACTTATTTTCTAGTCTGAGCGTATTTAGTTAAAGACTATTTCCATCTATTCAGCTTGTCTGTGTCTCCAATGCCCATGAGATGTTTAGGAAGTGTAGTCAGTGGCTAAACTTCTGAACTGCATCCTGAATTCTAGGAAATCTTAGGAGATTCAGCATTAGCTGTGGAGCTACTTATAAGCTAACAAGGCAGGCTGATCTTCAATCTTCTGAAACACTGAAGTTTTGAAGGTGCATATTAATCATATCTATTCTGTTGTTTTTCTGTGAGTCACCAGATTTCCTTCAGTTGAGAAATATCTTTGCCAATGAAGAAAATCAGAAAGTGCCAGTTGTTTCCTCCACTTACCCTTTTGACCTCATTCTACCAACTGTCTATCCATGCATACTTTGTGTTCGCAAAGATAAAAGTGAGCACCTTGACAGAATTTCTCTGGTGTGGTACTCCACTGTAATAGGGGGACAGCTTTAATGCACCTAGAGCTCTGCTTGCTTGATTTCTTCTGCACACATCTTCTGAGGAGAAATACGTAACTTTTCATGAAACCCTTTTTCCCCCAACTGTGCAGTTACATTTAGCACATGCAGGCCTAAATCTTTTGAAAATAAATATTCTGAAAAGCTCTAACTTTAAGGCTGTTAAAAGGGATCCTATGTCTGTGAGGTACAGAGGAACCAGATAAATGATGAGGAAGTACAAGCAAAACACGAGTCTCTGATGTGCATGTTATATGGGCATAGAAGACAGAAATCAGTACTTCATTGTTGGAGGCAGGTATAGATATGTAGAAATCCAGGCATCTTCTTAAAGCAGCTAAGCAAAGTGGGTCAGGAGGATGTCTGATGGCTGTGCTGCCTTGAAGACTAGTATTCGTGAGGTGGCTGTGTACAGGAGCAGCAGGGAAGTAGGCATTCTTGGTTCCCCAGAAAACTCCACCATTTCTCCAGATGTTTTCCCCTTTCACACAATGTGAACTCTGTCCCTCAGACAGTGGTGCTGTGTGCCAGGAGGCAGCAGGATACTAGGAACAAATGTCAAGTATGGCATGAGCTCATAGGAGTCAATTTCTGTGCATGCAGAAGGGTCTCAGTTCTTCCTCTTGACTTCACTGTCCACTAATCTGCTTGTAATTACTTGCAGACTGGATGATACATGGTGTTTCCCTGCCTGCTTTGGGGCTGGTGTATGCAAACTCCCAGACCTGACATTTTGTGATTCAAAATTCCTGAACAATTATTGAGGGCTCCATTGTGCCTGTGCGGGAGTGTTTAATATTACCCTTACATGGGATTGAAGTGCCTGCTGAGTTCTTTCTGAGTATCAGCAGTTGTGTGAAGTGTATTTCAAGATGGCAGAGCTGTCTGTACCTTTGTATGTTTCAAGTTTGGTTTTAGTAGCTAGGGGTGAGCAGAAATTTGTTTCTCTTCTGCTTGAAGAAATAACTTGGTAACATTGTAGAGAACCAAGTGTTCTGACCCTCATCAGGCTGATTTAAAATAGCCCTGTGTGAATCTAAAACCTTTCTAGAGGAGCAAAACCCAATGCTTTGCCTCTTTGGGGCACTGAGGTAGAACCATTAACATGTTTTGCAGTCCCTTTTCTGGTTTTTCAGTGCGCATGCAGCTTTTGGTACCAACCACAAGGGTACAGGAACTGTCTGCAGTGAGGCCTGCAGGGTGTGAAGATAGGAGATGATATCAAAACAAACGTTCTCCTTTGTTTTTCTTTCTAGATTAATACAGCAGATAATTTCACCAATTGCAAGGTGGAAGCAGAAGATGATGACACTTACGTGGTTATGCTAGGCTCAGAAACTCAACCAGCTATGAGTAAGTTGTGTTGTTAGACTGCTTTATCCGTAGCAAAACATGCACTGTATGAAATGAGTGGGATTATGGACAAACAGAGGGGGCACATTACTTTCCATTTCCACATGTTACTGCAGCTCCCAGGGAGTGCAGATGTCCTAGGAGAAGGGGGAAGGCAGGTGAGGGATTCGGTCATGGTAACGAAGTCATTGCTCAGTCAGACCTCAGTGCAGCCACCACCCCTCCCCGTTTATTCTGGAAATCTGTCATCTCTGCGTGTAGAAAAGAGCTGAATTCTCCGAGTTCTCAGAGAGGGGAGGCACTGCCCACAGGTGCAGCCAGCACCTGTGTGGAGGCACATTTTGCAGTGTGATGATCATATATCTAAGCATGAATTGATTACAAGCTTATTAACAATCTGTGTGGTCATATGAATTCCCCTTGAAGATTGCAAATGAAGTTGCATTTTTGCATTTACTTATGCCATGTATTTTGTGTAAGTTTTACAATATCATGGATTATAAAGATAAACTTTATCCTGTTTCTATCTTATCTGCTTGTTAACAATGTCTCACGTTCTATATAAAAAAGATATTTGTTATTTGCTAAGTTTCAACTTGTTGCTTTAGCCCTGATACGTTTTCACTGTCTCTGTCACACTTTCTATGGGAACACCTCAGGGTGAGCACAGGGAAGAACACCACAGATTCTAACAGCTGACTGTGTTAGCCAGCTAAATACCCTAACCTCCCATTTGAATCAGTGGTGAAGGAAAGGCATCACCAAAAGATAAATAAGAGTGGAAACCTGCATCAAGGGTTGGTATTACTTGCTCTGCATTTACTGTAAGTTTGGTGGCAGACTTTACCGTTTATGTTACTGAGGTTGACCCTCCAAATCTGGGTGCTTTTGTTCATGTTACTTTTCCCATCCATACGCTAGGTTCTTATTCTGTGGTCCATGGGCCACTAAAGACACAAGAGCTCCATTTACACAGGAGTACAGCCATGTCTCCCAGGGCAATATTTATTTAATTGTAGAGAGATTTAAATAAGCACTTGTATAAAAACAAGTTACACAGCTGTGTGAGCTACAGGTTTGTTTTACTAAGTGTGGCACTGTGCTGCGTTGAAAGTCAAGTATATTATGGAAGCAAGTTAATTGTGCGTGATTTCAGACTGACAGCAGCTCTAGAGAAGTTTAACACTACATGCATGAAGATGGTGTGTATCAGAATAGCAAGATACAATAAAAACTTCCACTGCTGATTTGGTAAATATTTAAAAAGCTGTTCACTGACACTATGTATTTGACAGGTTTCCTACTGTATCATTTCATAAAAGTTTTATTAGCAATTGTGTTGCTTCTGTGGAATCCTAAAAACAGGAAATGTTTCCCGATGGCAAATTTTAAATGAAATATGCATTCTTTAGAATTAAAAGCTAAGCAGAACCAAGGAGATCAATATGGAATTGGTTCAAGATGCCAACAAGAAGCTGAGGTGGGTGAGGAAAAGAAAGATGTTGTAGAAGACAGCAGAGAGACAGAACATGAAGGTCAAGAAGAAGATTCATACAGCTTTCACAACCATCCTGACAATTTGTATGCCAGCATACCTGATGATCTCGAAGAGAACAGAAGAGACTGCTTTTTTTGTAAGAGGCCGCCTCCTCCTCCCCCTCAAAACCTGCCTGGCATCCTAAGACAGGATGATTTATCACAAGGTATGACCTTGGGAGGAAAATAACCCCAGGCATAAACATGTGTAAATGCAGACTAGGTGCTGCTGTAGAGGTTGTGTATGGTTACTTCTAATAGCAGTGGCTAGGCAGTATAGGCTTAGTTCTGCAAAGCAAGCAAGTGCGTATGAGCTTTCCTGCACCAAGATATTCATGACCAGGCATGTCAGTGGATACTGGGGTATGGGCTGCTGGGTTCAGGTTTTAGGTTTTCCTCACTCTGCCCATCTCAGAGAGCTGCTATATCATACATGATGCACTAGATTTACAAAAGAGGCCTGAAATGAACTATTGAGGTTGTATTTTGTCAAGTTAAATATTTACCATTTTAAGATATTAAATGCCACCTTGATTTAATACAGCTTGGAATTTCACAGGTAGAATTAAAAGAAAATGACTGTGCATAGAGAAGTAACAGTATATTATTACATTTTAGCCAATGTTGTGGTTATAAATAAAAAGCCATATTGTGTTGCAGATTGAAAAGAGAGAGAAATTGTAACCTGTAATGAAATGCTTTGCTTTGTTTTTTTCCCCCTTTTTTCTTTTCATTTTTCTGCCCCAGGGTAAAAACCTGAAATTGTGTTGTATTTTGATTCAGCTGATGAGAAGCCCAAAATACTCTTTGCCTCTCTTTCAGAGGGGATGGTTATCATTTTTTACTCATTGGGAAAATAAGTATGCAAACGAATTGAAGCTTAAATACCAGTCTTAAATAGTCACATAGGGTAAAATAAACCCTTCTTATTTGTCCTGGATACTACCGGTAAGTGCACACACAAATTGCTTCTCAGTTTCTCCACTGCTTATTACTGTTAACTCTGTTTTTAAATGTGGCACAACCTAAGAGAGTCTTAAATTACCATCACCAAGCACACTGAAGTCATCCAAGTTCACATAAGTAGATAGAAATAGCTTTCTAGCCTTACAGCCTGTTATAGGTAGGGTTTTGTCCTGTTTTCTCTGTGAAAGAAAAAGCTGGAAGTCATAGGTGGATTCTAAAAGAAAGAATAAAATTAATGTTAAAGATGTGTTTTGCTTCCCATGAAATACTCAACTTCAGCTATATGTGTGCATAAATAAGGGTTCAGGTTTGGCATATAGGATTTGGTAGTTTGAAATAAATGCCTGTCTTGGAATAGGTCTCATAGCTCTACCATCAAGTAGTAATGTGACCCCCTGCCAAATGCTGTCTATCTGTATCTGAGTACCAGCTTCGAAAGCTTCTTGGCTACATAGTGTCCTATGCTGAGTGCTGTGCTGGTAAGGCAGAGTTTGTCTAAAAACACTCCTGTGTTAATAGTCTGTTTAAAACATGCTGTGAAGCTTTCTGAAGCATTAGCCTTGGTTTCATCATTGGCGAGCGAGGTGGGGGGGATATCAGAGTTCCTTTAAATAAGCATGAGGCTTGCTTTCAAGGGTGAGCTCTAATGTGTCATTTCTACCTAGTTTTATCAGCCACTTGCTTTCCGTGTTGCCGTGGAATACCTAAAGGCAAGTAGCATCTTCCTGAATCCTGTGTTTTGGCAGAGGCACGACAGTGCCCCATGTGGGAGTTAAAAGAAAGAGGATCCTGCAGAGAAAGGAACAGAATTTCCAGTGACATGGAAACAGAATGTTTTTAATATTAAATATGGCAGGCGTATTAATCCCATTTGCTGCTTTAAAACGTTTTTATGACTTAGCCAGAATGCATGTGGAGTGTATGTATTAATAACACATCCCATTTATAAATATATCCCACTTACAAAGACTGTTTGGTTCCCCTGAGCCCATAATAACCTCCCCAGGGAATTAAGTGGTGGACTCCCCACCATTGAGCACTTGTAAGATTGGGGAGGACAGGATACTGGGACATCTAGTCAAGGTCATGCTTTATTAAGAAAGGTTGAATCAGATGATCTCTGAGGTCCCTTCCAGCCTATGGAAGGGACTCTCTATGGGATTCTATGATTCATAAACAGACAAGGCAATTCTTTTAATAGCAGCCAAAGGATTGAAAACCCTAGTAGTGACCATGGCCTAGTTTAGCAGATACACATGCACAGGCACTAAATTACAACATGAGGAAAACTGACTCAGTGCAAGAATTCCAGGCTCCTGTTTTTGCAGGAGAGATGGGTAATCAGGACAAGAAAGTTAGAAACATCTATGGGAACACCAGCCGCAGTTATAGTTTCTAACTCTTCACAGTTTTGGGGGTTTTAAAGACAAATCAAAACAAACTCAAGTATTGGGAAACTTGATTCCTTTTAATGTGGTAAAATGTAAAAGGAATGCAAGTACTGAGCAGTTATACTATGAAATACATGAAATGTAGGAAGTACAGAGAGCCAGAGGAGTTACTGGCGGGGGGGTAGTCTTAGCATAGATTATAAGAGGTCATAAATTTCATCTACCCTGTACGGGGCTCTTTAAACTTTATTTCACCTTGTCTTACACTCCATCTTAGTAAAACCCTCTAAACCATGTGGGACACTTAAGATGTAGGAAAGACAAACCCCAGCATTTTCTAGAATAACTTTCAATTCTGAAGTCGTTGTTGCAGCAGTTAACAAATATCCTGACTCCAGAATGCCGAGGGCCACAGGTACCATTTACTTGGCTTCACCATTAAAGCACATATTTGTGTGACTCTGGTGGGAGCACCTGGGGCACTCAATATTTCTTTCAAATAAGCCCATTTATTTAGGGCTATTAGCTAAGCATCTGGTTTTGATAATCTGCTGTGAAATCATGAGGATGCTCTGAGGTTGGAATTATTCCTCTGGGACATCCTTTCTACTGACTTAGATGATCAGAAGCCTCTGAAAATCAGAGCACTTTAGAGGTGAAATTAAGTCTCAAGTGACTTTAGGAAATTCTAAAGTTGTAAGTTAAGTCCTGATCTCCTTTCTGTACTGTATAGATGGAACACAAGTCCTCGCTTTTCCAGAGAGGAATTCTGTGGAGGATGGAAGCGAAAGACAACATGGTGGTGAACTTATAACAGCATGCTACAAAGAAGATATGTGCGAGAGAGACAGTGGGGGGGAAAGGAAGGAACTCAAGTCTTTTATCGTGAACAGGCCGCCAGGCCCTGCCCCTTGTCCAGTATATTCACCAGTCAGAGAGGAGAATGCTCCCTATATAATGCAAGGGGACCTTTTGGAGCTTATACAGGGAAATTTAAAGCTGGAAGAGATCTTGGGTATCCTGCACTTCAATTCAGACTGAGGCCAAGTTTCAAAATAACAAAAGGGATTTCTGTGAACCTGCTGCAGAGATAGATCTGAGCCCCACAGGACATACTGCCTGTATTACTAGCTCCCTCTACAAAAAGCTGGCTATGCATAAATGGTAGAAAACCAGGCTGAGAAAGGTTACCAGTAGATTGCCTACTCCATCCAGTGAGTGTTCTGCACTAAAACAGGATTAATGCTACCTAGATCACCTCCTTTCTCATGCCTATTTCAGTCAGTGATTTATTTTATTTTTCTTAGCTAGCTCTCCTCCTCCAGGCTATGTAACTCCAGGTGAGGGCCAGAATGTGTGGGCTAACACATTTATCATTTAGTTGCTCTTTCTTCAGCACGTTTGGGAGGTACAAGGATGAATCATTACAGTAGTTAAAGGATCATTCAAGCACGAATGTGTAGGGGGCCTGTTACACCTGCAGAAGTCCTGAAATGGCTGCTTTTACTGAGATTACTAGTGCTGTGTTTCAAATCTTCATCCTCCATCATCGTAGACAGGCTAGTGACGTGCAAACCGTTACTATGAAGATGCTTTATTTGGGAGATTATTTTTACTGTCTTTTATCGCACTATAGTTTTTCACTTTGTCTAACTATTCACTAAGGAAGAGACTGAGGAACTGCTTTGATGGGTCTGTGGTTCTTTTATACCATATATATATATATACGCACAAGCATATATATATATATATATATATACGCACAAGCACACACCCCTCCACAGTTTTTAGCTTTGTTTTTATAAGTAGGTAGTGGTAGAAAAAATAGACAAATTAGTTTCCTGTTGTTCTGTGGAATCAGCCTCTGCCTCAAGTTTATTTACTGATACAGCAAGCATAGGTGACAGTGCTTCAAGGAATCTTCAGCTGACCACTTGGGCTTCTGTATTGCTGACCATCCTGCTAGATCCAAGTCTGGAGTTTCTCATTCTCCTGTTTTGTTCAGGGATTCCTGAGATAGTGAAATTTAGGACAGAAGTGATACATCTTCAGCTGATTTTTCTTGCAACTTGGTTTGGCAGGTTTTGTCCTTCTCCACACTGGTTAAAAAATTCTTTATCCAGTCCAGCAATATCCCAGTTACCAGTTTATTATATGAAAACTGCTTATAATCATAAAAAATTGATTGGTTTGGCTGTAAAAAAAAAAAAAAAAAAAAAAACAGAAAATTTCATTGCAGTCCATCATTAAAATTTCCATAACTTTGTAGCCATCGCTTTATGATTTAGTCTAATCAGTGTAAAATAAAATTACCCCAACTAGGGCATATATACATTTTTCATCCCTCAAATAAATTTATAGTTTCAGGGTTTGTTTTCATATATTATGTTATAAAGACCGTTGCAAATGTTGCCAGTTGAAATAATTGAGAAGTTAGAATTGAGGTAATTTTGCTGCTTATTTCTTTCTCCCTGCTGCAAACATTCAATACAGTCCATAAATATACAGCCGTGTACTGCTATATATCTCAGCTATTTTGTTTCATCTAGCTGTTAAAGTGAGTGAGCATAAGATGCAGAACTTTTCAGTGAGTGCTTTTCATTCCCATTTTTGTTTAAAATATAGTTCGTGCCTTCCTGAAACACTGTGTTCCTTCAGACCTTCCTGCAATAAACCCTTTGATTTGTTCTGGATCCACTGAGTTTTTGGATGCCCGATATGAAATAACTGAGATGCCATTTTTGAGATTAACAGCCTTATATAATATTCAAAGCAGAGATCCCAGTGATTGCAGTAGCCACTATGAGCGTTCAGAAGTTCATATTAAATTATTAGTGTGACTAGCCAGCAATCTTAATGTCAGGGATTCAAAAGCCTGATTGTTGGCTGAAATGACTTATCTGGGGTTACACTGGGGCTTGGTTGGAGACAGGAGTCCTGTTCCACAGAGCAGCTTTTAGATGCTTAACCAAGGCATCCTTCCCTCCACTGTGTTCTCTCTCCATTGACTAAATAACTTTTAACTTCTAAAACATACTGAATAATACTTCCGTAAGAAACACATTGTCTTCACTGCACAGTTCTGGTTATCTTCAGAGCCATTCCCTTCTGGTGATCAGTAAGACACAAGTTCTATGGGGGAAATGGGATTAGAGAACAAAGCGGATACGCATCAAAGGGCCGCATTAAGTCACAGTCACCCGCAGCTGGATGGATCCCTCTGTACTCTGGGAAGGAAAGGACTGCAGGGCCTGTTGTGACAGTGCATGCAGAGGTGCAAGAGGAGGATTTCTTTTTACGCCTTCTGTACCCACAGAGGTGATAAAAAATTTTGGGCTTGTTTATTGGCAAACCATATGCGTAAGCTATGCAATGCCTTTTGCCTCTTGGATTGCATGCTGATGTCTCCTTTTTAAGTTATACTCTGAATTCGTCAGAACAAATCAGGTGGCTGAATCCTCATGAGGGTTTTCACCATACATTGAAGTCAATGAAGCTACAAAAGAGTAGCTTCCCCTTCAAGCAAAAGTGGTGGTGTTTCCGTGAAAATAGCAACAAAGTGAGCAAATGGCCCTCTGTGATAAGTAGCCTTCAAATACAAGCTCAAGGTTACAGTAGGCAGAAAGCCTGCTCCCTGTAGATTACCCCTTGGTGCTTTGAAGGACAGGTTATTGGTACTCTTGCTCTAGAGAAAAGAGATAAAACATGACAAGTCCATTTTTAGAGTCTCAGAGCAAGATCAACACTTCCAAACCTAGGCAGCAAGCTCTCAGTGATGCAAGGTGTTGTAACTAAACTACTGCAGTTTGAGCATCTGAGCTGAATTTGCTGGCAAACTCTGGGAAAACATGAGTGAGTTGAAAGATTGAAAACATAAGTGTTCAGTTCGCTTTTACTCAGTTTCATTTATTCTATTTTCAAATTTTTATGAATGAGCTAACTACTGTACTGAACACTGCTAAGCGTACTGCATCTTTAACAAACGGAGTACATTTGTTCTTTAATTTAGACCACTGCAACAATTCTGCCTTCAGTGTGAAAGCCTCATCAACTGATGCAGCCACAAATTGGTGCCAGATAGCTCTGTTGTCCAGATGGTGTGCACCCTTAGTGTGCTCCCTTTCCATTCCTCAAGTGCTTAGTATTCCTTTGTAGGTTATTTTAGTGGGTTTCTTCGGTAGCTTGCTGCCAAAACAACTGTTAAATAAATGTATGAAGGTGTTGTGTTTTCAGTTTACAGTGTGATTTTAATGTTCCCTATTGATACCAGATTTGATTGAGCTGGAAAACAAAGTCCTCTGTGTATTATTAGGGCAGGTGCATGAGTTTCTGTCATGCCTCCCTTCCACTCTTGAAATCTGACCTACCAGGACCGCCTGAGGGCTTGAAGATTACTGTCCTAGTTCAGTCATTTACCTCTTACAGGGGACCACCTCTCTGCAGCAAGGACACCTGTCCTACAGCAACATAAATAAAACTTTATATGCCTACAGCCTTTGTTCCTTTGCATGAAGGAATGTATTTCCCCTCTGTGCACTGGAAACATTTTACTAGTTAAAGATAGCTGCCTGTGGGACTTCACACCAGGGTTGAAAGTTAGAAGGGGAAAAATACATTTCCCAGTTGCTACCCCAGAAGAGAATAGCATTCTCATTGCTCATCAAAATCACAGGTTATGCAGGAAAAATAGCAGCCAGTGGATATTTTTATGGAGGCAGAATATCTCATGTACAGAATAGACAATGTAAACCCAAATGAAAGGAAAAAACATCCAGACCAAAACTGTTGGTGTCTTGGAAAGTTATGGGTTCATTACTGGGAATTACAGTTACTGCATCCTGAGTTAGTAATTCATAATGTGTAGATTGTTTAAATGCTCTAAAGCAGGGGTTCCAAAGTGAAGCCTCAGATCCCATGCAGACTGCAAAACATTTATGTTCCACAGAGGGATGTTTTAGTCCTTTCCTACAGTGAGTATAAAGTACTGCACTGCAGATGGGTTTCATTACATATCCCGAACTTAAGGGCTCTTTTCCATGAATAAAATACTAGGCACCACTGTTCAGCTGTCTCAGAGCACTTAGACTGTTTTTACAGACCTGTCTGTGAAGTGATGTACTGGCTTCATCTGCTATGTTCATTCAAGCGTATTTTTTGCTATCTTAACTTCGGTGGATTGAAACATGTACTGAATAAGGTGCATGGAGAGAAAATATTTATAGTTGCTGCCTTGTTGAAAGGCTGTTCTAAATAGCATATTTCTGGTAAAACCAGACATAGTCTACCCCTTTTTTTCCTTTACTGAAGAAAAATAGGACTACACAAGTATTCAGTTTTTACACTCTGGAGCAAATATTCTTGTGTAATATCACTTGAGTCCTTCCAACTTCCATGATCCCCTACCTTAACTCTCTGCCAAGAGCCACAGTGGGAGAGTTCTTTTCATTGTGTATGGTACAGCAACTACTTCGACACTTCCTTCTGTGCCTTACACCAGCACCTATTCTTCTTATTCATTTGCCCCTTTTCTCAGAAGGGGGTCTGGTATTTCATTATCTTCCCTCAGTGAAGTGGAGTTATCTCTTATGGTCCCTCTGCAACTGGGATTCTAACAGATTTGAGCTCTCATTTGACAGACTCAGAGTCACAGTGCAAATTGGGAAAAGAATTGCTCATTTATTTTGGGGTTAATGTTTTCACGTTGTCATTACACTGTGATTCTTTTTTTAAGCCTTACTTTTGGTCTGAGAAAATGGGGTTTTTCAATCTCAACTAATTATGTTGCTGTGGAAGGTAGAGGCTGACAACAGCCTTTATAAATTGTGATGGGTGGACAGGATGGTGCTGGTGGGAAAACTCAGGCAGCATGCATTGAGCCACTGCAAATAACAGAGCAACATCACAGTTTGGTGTTTCTGCAAGTTCACTTTTGACAACACCTGGTCTTCATTCTGATGAAAATCCTGTTGTGTGTTCTCATAAATGTCTTGAGTGTCAGGCAGCATGTTTAGAACAAGTGAATGCTTCTGTACCAGTTTATACATGGTCACTGGTTTTCTCACACCAATACAGTTGAAGCTGGACATTCTTTTTCCTCTTGCCTTGTGACAGTGTAAGTGCAATCACACACCTCTGCTGTCATGGCAGGACAGCTTCTGGGGCTTGAATCTTAAGATTGTGAAATACTTTGTATAGATTTTAGGAGTTGTCCTTAATCATCTCTCACAAAACTTACTGATTAGCATTGCAGTGATGACCTCTGTCTAGTCCTCATGCTGAGTGATGCTCAGTGTGTTAGCAAACAAAACGGACAAAAAGAAAATGAGTTCTAAAAGGATGTGAACAAGCATCTGCAGAGTTCTCATCTCTTGAATAATAAGCATCATTCTACTATATTCCTTCCTTAGTATTCTCTGTGTATTTGTCATCCCTTACTGTGCTACATCTAATTTACAGTCTAATCCGTGCCAGAAAAAGAACTTACAAGTTTTATTTGCCTAGGTACTGTGCACACACAGTTGAAATGTTAAAAATGTTTAAATAATGAGGAAAAAATGGAGCAGGCAAAGATAGGAGTCTCTCCCTGCAACATATCCCAACCAGCAGTTCCCCCCTCCTCCTCCATTCTTCCATTAATCAGGAGTTAATTGTGTGACAATTCTAAAATGAATGAAGCAGAAACCTGCTAAGAAGAAGGAGGAAGCTTGCAAACTCACTGCAATTTGCAACTGAGTTGAGATGTGTTAATAAGTGCAGCCCCAGTGTATTAATTAATTTGCATTATCACTTAGCTTTGTGTTTCTATAAAGACTTTGTTCCCCTGGATTTTAATTTTGAATGTTTCCTAAATAAAACAGTCATGGTGATAGATAATTTTGTTTGGAATATCTGCTCAATGAAGCTAATGAATAAATACATAGTGAATTTCCCTAAGCAAATGGAGTTCAAATTAGTGATATTTATTGATTTGGGGTGTTTGGGCCTTTTTTCATTTGTGTTTGTTCTGCTGAAAGTGTTGAGTAAGTAGGGAAGTATTAGGTACAATCAACTCACATGTCTTCCAGAGGGTAGGTCAATCAATCTGTCTTTATTTGAATCACTAGTGTATAGTGGCAAACTATGGTTTGATTTTTAGTGGTAATGTTGCTAATGCAGCAAATTAGGCAACATCCCTCATAGTTTAGATGGGTAAAGTAAATTAGAAACCATATCGTGGTTGATCATTGCCTCCTAATATGAGGTGTCCTCTCCCATAATGTAACTCTTCGAGTGTTTTTATTGCCTCTGTTTCTAATTATATCACTTCTTACTGGCCTATCACTAAGAAATTTTTGAAATATCATAGTGCACCTATGGTTCCTTACCATTAAGGCTTTGTGTTAGAACCTCAATTCATTTGAAAAATCAAATTCCCGTTCTTTTTGTCAACCTCCAGCTGTTGTAAAAAATGTCTTTCTTTCTAGACCCTTTATACTCATCATTTTCTTGCAGTGTGTGACTGTAGAATGCTTTTCTTGGTACAGAATTATACACAAGAGGCTTTCAGATGTTTCTAGCCCTTCTATTTGTAGAAATAACCATGAAAATACTAACCACATTTTTAGGCTCCTATCATTATTTACCTGCATGTATAGACATCCTCAAACAACATCTGTAGCGAATCTGATTGAGATAAAGAAAGCAATTCAGAGTTCCTTGAATCCTACTCACTTTCCAAGCCTGATGTTAGAGATTTCCCCAGTTTTGCATATTTGCCACAAAAATTGTATTTTGTCATGCATTTTAAATGTTGTTTTCTGTTTTCATGTCCTACTAGAAAATACTGCAGTAGTTCTTACTCTTTGAGTTTGCTTTCCTAGAGAAATATTGAGGTTACATTTTATTCCTAAAGTGCAATCTTACTACCTGAGAAATAAAAATGTATGTAGGGAATGAAAAGATCTTCTTCTGTGTCCTGTAGCAACTGAAGAAACAAAAGGGAATAAAGTGGAATTACTTAGTAGTTCTCTCAGCTTCTTTTAATTCTGGGAAACTGAGTGAGGAGATACATCATAGACAAAAATTGTACTGCATATTATCAGGTCGGGACATTTATTTCTAGATTTTGAATTACAGGCATCCATGGGTACTTTGGCCAATCACAATGAGATTAAAAATCCAGAAGGACTCTTTCTCATCATGCAGATATTACTGAAGGGTGTACGTTAAGTAAAAAAGCAGAATAGAAGTACTGCAACTATTTAATCAGATTGTCTATGGCAAAGAGTCTCTGAAAATATAAAAACATATCTCTTGTCAGCTGAAGGACTCTGGCATTCTAACACTTGAAAAAATTGCTATATTAATATCTCTTTGCTGAAGGAACATTCACTTTATCTTCCTAAGAAATAATGGAATATATCCGTGTGCAAGATTACCTGTTTCTTTCATTCGACTACTGTATTCAAGCAGCTCGTAAGTAATCAGAAAGTGGGAATGAAAGCATAAATAGCTGGAGTCTTCCCTAAACCTGCAGCAGTTGTGCAGTGCTATCTGCAGATGTCTTTCCAGGCATTCCAAAACCAGGAATTTGTTTTCACTGATCTCACCTACACTGAATACTTGCTGCCAGCTAAAATCATTTCAGCAAGATGTGGCGTGTAAAGTGGTTTTAACAATTTTACTTTGAACTGGGAGAGTAATTCCATTTCTGATTACTCCAGCGCTGCAAAACTCAGCAGAAATTTCAAAGCCTATCAATTAAAGTGCTTTTCAATCGCAGGGACATTGTTGAGAATATCCCTTCTTACGCAGTAAAATTCAGGCTGCCTACATTACCTCTGTGTTCTGGTTACTTGAATTTCTTCTTCAGAAAAAAGATGCTATTTCAAGTATAGAATAAAACACTGCAACATAGCAGGATTCTTTCAGAATTACAGAGAGGAGGGTTAACAAAAGTTGAAATCTACCAGTGTTAGGCTGAAGATAATGGCGTAACATCAGCAGATTGCGCTGCTTGTGTAGTTCTTTTACTCACCATTTAGCCTGAGAACATTTTAAGAACACCAAGTCCCAGCTGTTTTCATTCATCATCACCTTCCATACAAGCCTCCTCAGGAGTTAGCGTAAATACTCTGCAGTGTAGGAAGTACACCCTTAGGAATTGCTCCTTCCTCACCTCTGCCTTTAGAATGCACTGAGTTTAGATGTCACAGAGGTCTTGATGATCCCTTTTACAAGTTTCCCTGAGAGAAGCAGATGTGTTGTACAAGGCAGCTGGAGCAGGCAGACAAGAAGCAAACCAGCGTCCACTGGGTTTGCCCAGGCAGCAGGAGCAAGAAGCCAGGACTCTGGGGTGGGTGGTGAACTACGCTGATGGAATAAGTGATCATGCTTTACTGTTGCCAGTGCCTGAATAAAGTAGACAAAAATATACTCTTTCTTAAGCAGAGTCATTATTCTTATAGTACTATTGTATTTACCTGCCTTAGCTTTCCTCATGAAATAAGGAACAAGCTACAGTTGGTGTTTGTTCCATGTGAAAAACTCCGAGATCTAGCTGGGTTTGCTAAACAAGTAGTATGTTAATGTGATAAGCCTATTCTATTTTCTTCAAAGCTTCTTGTTATACTATCTGTACTATCAGTAATCCTGCCATTCTGTGCAACAGAACAGTTTTTCAAGTAATTAACATTAGCCTGATAAGTGGGTTAAGAAGTACTCCTCAGCTAGAACACAAAATTTGTTTCAGCCTGCTTTCATGAGCCTCCTTCCTTCACTCAGAATGTCTGATGGTTTTTACTGCATTTTTCACCAGTTTCCTAATCTTGTTAATTTTGTCGTAGTGTTTCAGCAAAAGGCCACTCGAGTGCCCAGTGGCAGCAACAGAATGTACTGCGATGCTAGGAAGCCTGGTACAGAATTTAATTTAGCTCTTTCACTGCCTTGATGCTTTTCAGTAGGACTAGTAGAGAATTGCTGTGACTTCATCTTGACCGATCTAACATCTCTTTTCCCACATAGGATTTATCTCCTTAATGGTATCACAGCATTAAGAGATCAGCTTGAAGAAAGAAAAAAGTAAGTTACATTCTTGTGGGAAAGATTTGTAGTCAGAGTTACTTTATGCTTTTCTGTTTCCTTTCTCCATTGTGATTAAAACCAAGAAAAGGACAGACAGGAGGGCTCAGCTGTGTGCTAATGCCAGCCTGGGAAATGCAGCAGTGTGTGGAGAGGAACAGTTCTCTCCTGGGTACCTCAAGATCCATGTAAAATGGATCACTCGTTGCACTCCAGTTATTTGAGTTGTAGCACATAAAAATGTTGCTACTTTAAATTCCATTAATGGTGCCCTAAAATATTCGACAATGTTATGTACAAAATTACTGAACACCGAGTGAAGCTTTTTCCTCTATCGTGTGTTAACAAGCATAAGGTCAGGATTAAGGCATCTAGAGCAGCGCAATAATCACTTATTTATTTCTGCAGCTGGGAACTGCAGTCTCCAGTGCTACTGCCATTAGTTTTTGTGAATGCTAAACCTCTTAGGAAAAGAATACAGCACCTTCTAGAGCTTACTGTGTTGGTGTGCTGGTAGCATAAATCTGCAAACCAGCATAGTAACCTTTTGTGATAGAGAAGATGGAAAAGAACTGTGACCAGAAGGTCAAGAGAGATAATTTTGCCCCTTTGCTCTGGTAAGACCCCATCTGGAGTACTGTCTCCACCTCTTGGTCCCTCAACATAAAGATGTGGACCTGTTGGATTGAGTTCAGAGGAGGGCCACAAAGATGATCAGAAGGCTGGAGCACCTCTGCTGTGAAGATAGGCTGAGAGAGCTGGGCTTGTTAAGCAAGAAGAAAAGGCTCAGGGGAGACCTTAGAGCAGCTTCCAGTGCCTAAAGGGGCCCTGCAAGAAATCTGGAGAGGGACTTTTTGTAAGGGCAAGTAGAGATAGAACAAGGGAGAATGGCTTTAAGCTTTAAATGGCTTTTACAAGTCCCTTTCAACACAAGCAATTCTATGGTTCCATGATAAGCAGAGTAATTATTATGGGTCTGAAGAAATACACCCACACACCTTTTTCTGTTATGAAAAAAAGCAATTTTACCTAAACTGGTCTGATCTCCAAATAATCATATCAGATGCAAGGCATTAGGGTCATTAGTGTGTCAAAATAGAATCAACTAGATGAGATGCAAAAGAGTAGAGATTCATGCCTAACGTGTGCTAGTATGATCAAAAGGAAGGAGCCGGAGAAGCCACAGTAGGTGGTTGTTTACTTCTTCAGTGTATTTCCCTTCTCATAGTCCTTCCTCACTTAAAGTATATATTGGTGCATGACACAGCAGAAAGATTGACGCAGGTCATACTTATAGTTTAATCCTGGCTGCATTCACTGTGCAGTGAAACAGGTGCTTTGCACCAGCCTCATACAGGGCTGGCAGAGCCCTATTTCACAGCTTCTCACTTGTTCTGGATGGGTCATTTCATTATCAGTATTGCAGAGACATGTGGTGCTGCACCTCCCTGAACCAAGCTGTGGTAACGTCTCCTTGTCATTTCCCTTTGGCTGTGCACCTCTGTCATAATCTCTAGGAGGACCAAGTTGTTGTGTTTCCTTGTCACTGCAAGGTATTTAATGATGTGGGGGAAGGAAATCATGTGAAATTCCAAAATGCATTCTGGCCAAATTTCAGCCCCAGCTTTTGAGAGATGTAATGTGTGAAGTTGGAGAAGGAAGGGAAATAAGGCACTGTGAATATTTTTTGTCTTAATAGAGCAACTGTTGCCTTTAAAATGTCAGTACTATAGCTTTAGTGTTAGAAAAATTCTCGTATGAACTGATACTAATAGAGAATCCATGGGTCAGGGCAATAGTAATCAATGAAATGTTTAAGATGTTACTCTGCTGCCAAGGAGTAACGGTAGAATCCTTATTGATTTATTGCATTTCTCTCACTGGAAGAGGAAAAAAAAAAAACCACCCCCTCCCCAGAAAACCTACAACTAAACAGAAAGAAGAAAGGGGAGGGGGCACTCTAAAGATGGTGTGGTTTTAATTGATGTCAGATTAGAGAATTACTCCTTGCATGCCTTTGAAAAAAAAATGATTGCATCATAAAGGAATGAAATGAGCTAATAATATTTTCTACTTTTATCTTTCTGCACTGTGTTGCACACAGAGATCATGCTGACACAGTAACTGACAGCACTGTGCAACACAACATCCCTACTGAACAGGAAGAACTCATCCACTTGCAGGAACAGGTGAAAAAGGGGACAACTTCTGTGTATGAAACCCTTGCCAGATTTAAACAGCGGCAGAAGGAAAAACAGAGACTTCAGTCCTCTCAACAGGTATGAGTCTGAAATTTATGTTTCTTGACAGGAATCTTGATCAGAAGTTCCAAAAACAAGCCCTAGTCTTCTGGCTGACACATATGAGGTCAAAACTAAGTCATGATTTGTGTATCTATCAGCTCCCAAGGAATTTGCTGCTTATCGTTCTGAATCTTCTAGATGCCTGTTTCCATTGTTGTTTGATTACTTGAGAGGCTTCCTGAATTTATTTTGCCTGACTTCAGGTGCTGTTGCATTCAGTTAAAATCCTGAGTTAAATATGTCGGTCTTCTGAGACTTCTGTTTTAAACTGCTGGGTCTATGCATCTTTTATGAAACCACAAACCTTTGGTAGCTGAACATACCAAATGAGGTATTGAACAGTGTCAGCTAGCAGAAACCTAACTACATCAAGCATGCATTGTTAATATATATAGACTTACCTCAGGCTTTATGCCTGTCTGCAAGTGTTGAATCTACCTAGTAAAATCCACAATTGTTAGCAGTCGTCTTCAGCTCCTTTATCTTCAATGTATGGAGAAAATTGAGGTGCACGAAAAAACAGGATTTACAAAAGCCCACACACTGAGTCACTGAAAGAACTGCATCAAAGCTGCAAGCAAAAGAGAAAAGCACAGTGAGGAGGTTTGCTAATTACTTGTAACAAGGCAGCTGGAGGAAGAGGTTATGCCCTCATTTTACAAGAGGTCATGCATTAACAAAAGTATTTTCCTGTTGTCCTGTAAGTGCGTTCAGTAGAAAGAGGAAAACCAAAGGTACTCAACAGCGTGGGAGAGCTACCAAATGCTGCCAACAAGGAGAGAGATTAAATGCTCTTTGTGTTTGCTTTTACTGAAGAAATAGTATGAGCTTTGTCATCACAGTGGAACACTTAACAGCAAAAGCTCAAGAGCCTTGGGACAGTCTGGGGGCTGGGTTCACAGGGAGGGTACCAGTAGCACACTGTTAACCATTGAGCAGCACTGCCAGTGTGTTTTGTGCCCCTTCTGAATATGTCTGTGGCCCACACCCCAGATGGGAATTGCTGGTTCTGCTCTGTGAGGGGAATTACTTGTGGAGGAAGATGGTATCTAATCTGTGCAAAGATAGCAGCACTAAGTCATAATTCTCTTTTTTCCTTGGTTAGCTAGAAGATGCCTGTATTTCAAGAAGGTTTTACTTGGCCTGTTTTCACTGCTTCAGGGCAAAAGCTACTTTTCAGTGGTGGTTTATACTCTGTGCTGCATGTGTGACTTCTTTGGGTTTGTACCAGAGAAAGTCTTTCACTTACCTCAGTATGAATATTATGAATTTACTTCATGCTGTCACTGTAGTTGTCTGGTGTTCACTGGGATTTTTGAGGGAAAAATCACTTGGCCAAAGCAAAACATAAACCCCAAGCCTCTGTAATGTAATGCCAGAATCAGTGTAACTTAACTGATGGGGAAAAAGCTCCACAAGACTCTTTGGTATAAATGCTAAAATTAGCATCTACTTACAAGTGCATCATAGACGTTTTTCAGTCTTTTAAAATTGTTTTCCTGGAGAGAGAAGCTTGGTGTTCAGAATGTTAAAGCATCTGGCTTTGTGTAGTTACTCATTATTGCTGCAGTAAACTTCTGTTACTGATTTCTGCTGCTGGCTTTATGCTTGTTTTCTACTTACAGGAAAAAGCACACCACCTTAGAGACAGCATTGTTGGAAACAGACTAGAAAAGGAAAATTGAAATGGTGAGTTGCACTTTCTCTGCCTTTTGGAACACTGTAGCCTTAAACCGTTAAGTGTACTGCAAAGGTCTGATCCAAAGCATGAGCAGGCTTTTGGATCAGGCACTGAATTTGTAATAAGCATTTTCTGCATCATATTTTAGTGTAATCAGGCCTTCAGCAGGGTCAAGATTTCATCCCAAAGATGAGCTCAGTGAGAGTTACCAAGTCGTGGCTCAGCTATTCTGTAGCCCATTTCCTACTGCTTAACACAATTAGGGTAGATGATTTCTTTAGAACAATTTACTTGATGACTTCAATATTTTATTTGTAAACCAGCTATCAATTTGCACTTGCAAATTCTTGATGAACTTTCCAATGTTACAGCCATTCAGTATTGCAAGTCAGTACTAAAAGCTGTACCACTGGTCATTTATTACGCTTTTTTTTCCCCTTTGTTATTGAATGTCACCTGAAGCAGTATAAATCACCAGTGTTTCCTGCAAAATATTTTTTCTTGTTGTTATGAAAAGATTGTATTGGATGGTATTGACTTCAGGCCTATCATTTCTGCAAATTTCAGTACATACGTGTTCTTGGAAGGACAATTTAGTATCGCTTGTCTATCACTGTTTAAAATTAGCACCTAAATATATTATTTCCTTCCTGCAAGACAGAAAACCAATCCACAGTACTGCTTCCATTATTTTGTTAGACAGTGTTGTGTTTATGTGGATTTGTGAGATACTGTAATTAAGGGAAACTCTTGCTGCTTCAGTGGCAGAGTTGCAGTCCAGACTGTATTTCAGCTTTAATGTCCTCTGTGGTCAGTAGGGGTACAGCATTCTGAGCAGGCTCACTCCAGAAGCCTTCACAAAGTGCTCAGAACCTGAAGGCCTGGGTTCACTGCGTTTGTTCCTACGCTCTGTTTTCTATAGGTGCGGCAAAGCTAATGAGGACATGAGAATGATGCTCAGAAACTATTTGTCTGTAGGGTGTTTTTTTAAGGCCACATCGATTCTGCCTCTGCAGCTGTCCTCTGGAGTTTGGTTATTGAATCATACCAGCACAAATGTAGTATCAACACCAGAATTGTAAATTCTGTGAAATTATCCAGTAACTCAGATAATGATCATGATCTTCCTAACCTCTCTGCCCTCTGCTGCACTGTCTTATATTCTCTGATGCATATAAATCAGCAGATGTGCACTGCAGCAGTAAAATGGGAAGAATCATTATGGAGGCCTCTGTTTTGTCCAACAGTACACTTTAAATCTTTGATAATAAATTCTTGAAAATAAGAACTTCCAAAAGATGGAACCGTTTTCAGCAGCATGTTGATGGCAAGAGTAAGGAAGGATAGCAGAAGACCATTACCTAAGAAGTCCAGATAGAAATAAATTGCCAGAAATGACAGTTATGTTATTTTCCCTTTCATAGTTCCTAAGGAAAGCAGACCAGGGAGCATTCATTTTAGAGACTTCTTGTTCCACATGCCATTTAATAAAGTGATATGTATGAATGTTAGCAGTCCTCAGGTTTGTTTAATGAATTCTGGTTTTCACATCTGTATGCAGACACTCTCTCTCTCCTTTTAAACCCATGGGCCTCCTTCTCCCTATTCCATGTTTGCAGTTGGCATTTGGATAGTCTTTTTCATAGATGGTTTCTGAAGACTTGAATGAAGATTTAAAGAGATCATAACAAAATCCTGTTAGAAAAGGAATTTGATTTTATTCTAATGAGAAAAAAAATCTATAAATTAGGATGGAATATAATTTTTAGTTTCTTGATAAGTTTGATCTTGCTTCCACATAATGAAAGTTATTAATGGGAGCGGCATTCAGTTCAGTCCTCCATTATACCATTTGATGGTATCTTGAAGTTCATGTCTCATTTTGGAACAGTTTAATATAGGGCTGAATAACACCCTCAAAAAGCCAGTCAACTGCAAAGCAAAAAGCTCTGTCACTCTTAGAGTGAAATATCTGTAAACACATACTTTAAGAACAACTAAATAAGGACTAAGCATATAGAATGTTCATTTGCAGAATGTGCAGGCACAGACTGTGATTTCTCTCATTACTATATAATATAGCTATGGTCTTGCCCGTAAACACCACTAATATCTTTTTTTTAAGAAGGGAAGTAAGATGTTAGCCAACAGAACAACCACCACCAAAAAATGAGCACGAGCATACAAATATGGTTAGGCCTCAGCTTGCTCTGGGTAACTGATTCCTTGCCTGTACCCTTAAAGAGGAGATAAAGCTTGAGAGCCTTCTGGGTTTGTACATGTCCACTAGCAGAACGAATGGCAGCAGCTTAAGGCAACATTTATGTAAGCATGACTAGACATATTTCCTTTAAAGTCTTAAAGACAATGCAGCGTTCCTTGTGCATACTTTGTAGCTCATAGGATTTTTAACAAAACCTACATGATGCCTATCTACATCTTTGGACGCTTGCATTACCTACATGAAACTCATTTAGCTGTTTCTGAAAATGAGATTTCAAAATCTGCCTTCTATTGCAGTTACATTATGGCACCTTATATGCCACATCCCACAGATTTAGTCATCCAGCATCTAAAAATAAGCACAAGATTGCAGAACCTACATAAGAGTGCTTGAATTGCTTATAGTTAGTTTTCCCCTTAGAGTTAATCTCTGTAGAACCGTGAAGTTGGTCTTTTGGGATAAAGCTAGTATAGTGTAAGATTCCTCATCAAGACCAGGAACGACTGATACACTCTTTTGTCCACTCAGCATTGCAGCAAGAACTGAGTAGCAGCTGTCACTATTCCATTATGGGTAATGAGCAAGATAGAGGTCACAGAAAACAAGCTACAACTCAGATGGACTTCAGAAAACCAGTACTGCATTAAGCAAATGCTAAGCTTTAATTTTTAATTATTATTATTATTTCAGTGTCAACTTACATAATAGTTTTAAGTGAAGGTAGGTGTTGGGAAACATGTCAGGTGCTTAGTAGTCCCTCGGTGACAAATACACACACAGGGCAAATGAGCAATTCAGCCTTTGCATATGTTCCAGTCTTGGGAACTTTGGCAAGACTTGGAGGTGGGTGGCCTGATGTGGAAAGGTCAAAAGCTTTTTCCACGGGGAACTCAACTGAAAGCATTTATTTTGTAGCTGTTAGCATCAGTAGGTACTTACACTGAAGAACTTACGCTTCATATCCAAGGACAACTTCACTATCTGTTGCTACAGACCCACTTCTGTGAGACACTGTACATCAAGATCATCCACTGCAGTAAAGGCATACTCCACAGACTTTCTTCTTCCAGATATTGATTTCTAGATCTGTAGATGCCTATGACAATAAAGCAGATTTGGTTTAATTGTTTGCTCAAGCAGCTGCTGAAAACCAAATCTCTTCCTTGGCTTCATGCAAAATCACTCAAAAGAGCACTATGCACCTTTCAGAAACTGGCAGGTTATTGATTACATTCGCTGTGCTAAATGTCTGGCTTCATTCCTCAGACCTCATCAGCACCTTGTTTTGAGTCCAAGCTGCCAACAGATTGCTTATTCATCAGTTGATGCCACTACAGCTTGCAGGTAGCTCCCTGAAAACTAAATTTTGAGGACATTAACCAATACGTATTGTGTCTGATGGGTCATTAGGCAGATGAACAAAAACAGACCCTAATTTTGACATCTGGGCCCATGGGAACTCAAACTTCTTTAACTCAACCCAGTTAGCAAAGTTGGAATAACTTGAAATCCTGAAGCATGAGGAAGCTTTTGTATGTGTGGAGAGTGAAGAAGTCATAGAAAAAATGTTTTTTCTTCATGACTTCAAAAGTTTGCATTTCAGTCAGGACTTCCAGTCTTGAAAATACCCATTTGTTGGTACCTTACCATAGTGGCCACATGACTTATGAAGCTACATCTTCAGCCTGGCTTATTTCCAGTTTCTTAAGTATGTTGTACCTTCACATGATGCTCAAATTTAAAAATCAAGAAAATAAAAAGCAGTTTCCTGCCCATTTGTTACCAAATCAGGTCTTCACAAGACCAGCCCACAGTCAAATTGTTGACTGAGGAGCTCACCAAGACAACTGAATATCTACATTCCCCTCAGCCTCTCCTAACTGCCATCAATAGAGACCAGCTATGCTGTTAGAAGGAAGATTTGTACAAAATCCACCTCCTGTCATTCTCCCACACAACACCTGCCTATTTTTATGGATGTCTCTTGTTCCCAGGGATGGGTGTTGTAGTCACATTTGAAGCAAAACACATAAGAAGGGACTCATCGTAAGTCTGTATTTTGTGAATTATTCAACTCTGAAAAACATTCTGTACTGGTCCAATTTACCATTGATATACATGACTACTAATTGCATCTATTTCTTTTTAGTCTCCAACTAGGAACCCAACAGACAAGGAGCAGATGCCTAATTAACAGAGGTAAGAGCACAGATGTCATGGAAACTGACCTTCATAGAAGTACTTTCCATCAGAGTGTGTTTGTGTTACAATAGAATGGAAGTGCAGCTCAGAGTTCTGATTTCACAAGATAAACCATAACCATCCTACATCCTGGTTTATACTAGAACTGATTTCATTGTCAGGTGTCAATTTACTATTGTTACTGCAAGGCAGACTTGCCAGCAGTAAAACGCTTACACCTGACTTGTGGACGTAGCTGAAGAAAATTCCCATTATCACACCTAATAGAGTTTATACGACTAAAAGCTGTATTAGAATGTATCCCTACACACTGATCCCATATGTGGTATCAAACATCTTGAATATCAAAACAAAGTTAAAGGCATGGATGTGTTCAGAAATGTTGATTAACCAAGAGACCAGTGGTCATTTAAGTGCTGGCAAACTTACAGGTGATGACACTGTCTCCACAAAGAGTAGAATTTTCTGATAGTTATGTTAATGATTATGAGTTTCTTGGATTTGGGCATCTAATGAGATCTTTAATAGCTGTTGGTTTAATTACTATTTGATACCTGTGTGCTTCCATGGATATCTCATAGTAGTTGTAAAACTGTAGGTCTGCCTTTCAGTGGAACTTGATCATTAGAGTTGCTGCTAGGAGATAAAAGTAAATAAATCTGGTTTACAGCATTCACTGGGCTGAGGGGGGTTAGTGGTTAGTTTTTTGTGGGTTTTTTAATCTGTTCAGCTTTCAACATCTGTACCGAGAGGAAACTGACCAGGAACTGAACTTAGATAAACATCTGAGGTTGCAGACCTCATGAATTATCTTGCATTCATTCTAAGAATAGGCAGCGAAATAATGACCTGGAAAGTTTCTTATTTTTTTGCTCATTCCTCTGAAAATGAAGGAGTCATGCAACCTTCTTATGCATGCAAGGATGGTTGCCATTAAAAGTTTAAGGCCCAGAACAAAGATGTCTGCATTCTGTTAAACATACCTGCGAATCTTCTCATTGAGAACTTTAACAAGTTTTCTGATCCTTGGTTTTCTTAGGCCCCAGATTTCTTCAGTTCATTGATCTCTGCAAGACCAGTCTGTGCTGAACAGCTCCAAAAGTCAGTTAGATTTTTCTTCTTCAGTTTCCTTTCCTTCAGATGAGTTTAGGACCTGAAAGTTTCAAAACTAAAGTTTATCCTTTTAGATATCAGTATTATTTGTAATTTTGCATTATTAGAATTATGAAAGATTAAGTAATATTTGTTCACAGTAACAAAATGATGCAACTTATTCCTGAACACAAACAGAATTCTTAAAGGCCTTGTTACATAAGTTACTTTGAACCAATTTGCCTCTCCAACTTTTTCAAGTGGTGGGAATGCCATGTTACACTGTTATAGCATTCCTTCTGTGGCACTGTAAAATAAACAATCTTCAGCAAGGTCTTTCCTTCCACCCTTCTCCCATGCAAAGGAGAAGGCTGTTGCTACTTTCTGAGAGCTGTGTTGCCATGTCTCATTTCTGAAGCCTGCTGCCCTCCTACTCACACAAGTACAGCACCCACACCAAAAAGCAGTAGGTACCGCCTCTGCTGCCTCTTATCCTCCAAAGCTCTTGTTCAGTTCTCTTAAGACCCCCCCAAAAAAATCGGTCTTACCACATGACCTGAAATGTAAAATTACCACTCTTCCTTTAAAAGGCAGCTCAGCTCCTGCATGGGGTTTCCTAACAGAGCTGTTGCCCTGAGTGGAGCTGAAGTCACCTATAATCAGTGGGTAAAAAACGCACTGAGTCTTAAAAGCTCTGAAGCTGGAGATAACTATTATGAAAAGCTTGGTAATAGCAGAGGTGTCTATAAACTGCAGATGCTAAAGTGAGGTGAATCATTCAAGGGGGTGAGGGAATTACCCCTGGGATCAGAATGGGTGATCTCTGTCATTTTTAAACTATTATTATGTGGGAGAATTCGCAGAATACAATTTATCCAGCACAGTCAATCAGTTCTGCTTGTGAATTATCCACACCAAACTCAGAGGTTCTCCTCTTCTGCAAAATGTGGTCTCTCCAGAGCTTTCTGGCTGTTTTCTGTCTTTGGATTGCTTCAGATTGTATTAACAGAGTTGGAAAGTGAACATCCATTTACTCACACAGACTGGAAAACATGCCATTAAGGTGAAGTTCTGAAATCCTCTGAGAAACTCAACTTCATGTGTGAAATCTGTGCTTCCAAACCCAACACTATGAAATTAGGTTTAGTTTTTTTCTTTTGTTTCCTCCTAAGACTCCAGTGTTCTTTATAAAAGTGATGAAATGCATTCAGTGGTGTATACAACAATACTGTGGATACCACTTAGGAGGACTGGACCCGAAGTCTGTCTGAAGACAGACTGTTATTTTTTTAATGAGATTGAGTTTTATTAATATTGCCAAAAAATGCAGATAAAACATCCAAAAACTACATTTCTGTTACTAATATTCTGACTCTCCAAAGGGCAGAGCCTCCAACACCAGTGCAAGGCTCTTAGCTGTGGTGCTCTAGCCTACCCATACATCATCACACTTTCCTTATGGCGGGGGGGAGAGGGAGAATGGAGTTGAGACCCAGCTAGTGGATCTGAAGGAGTTGATTGTGGGTTTGATTCCCTCATGCATTCAATAAATACAGTGTTTGATCTGATTGTAAACTAGCATGACCAGTCTATTGAATAACAGGCATTATTTCTTACAGTGAGATTCGTAGGCTGGCTGCACCTCAGTTTCCTCGCCCTGGCATCCCACACATCTCTAAGCCAAATCCTAATTCAGGCTCCAGCACATCCTGCTGTGAAATGGCCATTTGAGCATCATTGTGCTTCAGGAACTTGGAATCTCTCACCTGGGCCAACTGTGGAAGAAGTCCAGTATCACTAAACCAAATTAAGAAGACATTTTGTAAAGTCAGCAATGAATTTTACATTTATTTTGCCAATATTTTTTTAAGATGCCAGCAGCAGATTTATATAAAGATACATTGTGTGCTCTGGGTAACTAGTTTTAAACTCATTTCAGTTTTTCCATAATGCTTGATAATTGTTTAAAAGTAAAATTTATGCACCAAAGAGGAAGACCATGAAAAGTTACTATGATTATGAAGTTATAATACATAAGATTTGTTTTACTTTCTCTTAAGACATTTTTGTATAACCTTTTTATATAAATTTGTTTTTCCTAGGAATAATAATTGTACTCCTTTACTAATTTAAATAATTGCACTCAAAGCAAAGCTAATATCTAAAGTCAATCTATGTAAATCAGTACAAAGTATCTACTAAAGCGTTAAAGTGATTACAAGAATGGGGGTTAAAAGGAACTTGTGTTTTGTTTAATAAGTTGTCCAAGATAAGTGATAACCAGAGCATGCCCAAAAGCAAGTCTACTGCATTTACAGAGCAAAAGTAAAGGAATATATATGGTTAATGGGTATAATGGTCTGCATTCCCACAGCAAGGTACTCCAAAATTTAAGTGAGTGTGTAACAAGACAAAAGTATGCAAGATGACTTCCTCTACTTCATAAATAAGAAGGGAAAAACATCTCATTTGCAGACTTCAGAGGGTATAAAAGATTATTTTATCTTTCAGGCAAGTAGGAGCTTAAATAGACTTCCCCCACCCCAGTTATCCGAGCTTTCCAGAAGCTTTCTTACAAAGCAGGTTCATGTGCTGTTAGTCAAAACTGCCCCTGCAGAGATCTTAATCTTGACTAACCTCTTAGTTGTGCATTATTCAGACACCTTTAGGCACTGAATCCGTAAGCAAGCCTCCCCTCAAGCTCTCTGCGGTGCTGAATTTCTGCTTTGCATGCTTTAGGAGGTGCTTAAACTTTAGTTAGGAAAAACTGAATACTACTTAGAACCAGAAACTGTTTTATATGAAACTTCATGACATGTTAATGTGACACCAAAATGTGGAAGACGGGAATGGGTTTGATGTTCAGACTTTAAGAGCCTTGATGGTCATATTATTTTTCCCTGTTCAGCAGATTATTGTGCCAAGAACTGTTACAAACAGAAATAAGCTAAAATGACAATTCCAGGATTTCCAAATAATGGCAGAACTTGCAAGTTTGTATCCCACATATAGCTTTAGGCTAATTAAGGTTCTATTTTGAATAGGGTGATTAAATGTTTTCAGGAAATTATCAGTTCTCTGGGGAAACCCCCTATTTCTGTTAGAAATGCTCCCACAAATACTGCAGATGTATTGCTCTGAAGTTATAAATATTCAGTGACTGCTGTATTAGTGTGGCAACACAGCTTTGTGCTCCATAACTCAAGGGAAGCCTTTGTATTTGAACCACATCAAAAGCCTTGAAACATACATCATTTACCAGATCTGGATATACAGTCAGTGTGTCTGAACTGAGGGACATGAGGCTGTTCTACAGGGGAGAGAAGCTGTGATGTTTTAAGTCTTGCGTTGCCCTGTAAAAGGGGCAAGAAAGGGAGTGGGGAGAATTACTTGGAAATCTAAACGTGTATAAGCTGTTATTCTCCCTTATGAGGTTCCTGTCCTTCCCTGCCAAAAATACCCGTTTATATTCTGATAACCCTAGCTAGCCACTGTATCCCCTGGCAAGCGTTCCTGAGGAGCTGACACACATTGGAAAGAGCATGTAACACATGAGAAGCTTCTTCATGTCAGTACCTGCTCTCTTTTCTGAAGTTTGTTGCTTGTATCTGTAGCAGAGGAGATGAAGGGACTTTTCAGAGGGATGTCAGTCCTCGCAGACCTCAAGGCAGGATCCCAGTACTCTCTGTGCTGGCAAAGGAGAGGCAGTGATTCCTTTGCCCCAGTGAGGGAGCACCTGGGAAATGGGGAGATTTGAGATCAATGGTAAGAAACTAACAGAATAGGAAATGTATCAACACAAGGCACAGAAAGTTACATCAAGGAAACAGCGTGGATTTCCTAAGGAAAAGAAAGGAAGTAACAATATAGCAACAGAGACAAACAAACTGGAAGGCAGAGCGTGGTTCCTCCAGAAAATAAAAAATAATAATAAAAAAAAAAGTGTGCTCTGTCTATGTATGAGCAAGCATGTGCATCTCTGGTGCATGGTATGATGTGTCATGACTTCCAGCCCAGGATGGTTTAGGATTCCCCATTACAAAGCAACCCACGTTCTCCGCTTTTGCTGCTTCATTCAAACCTGGCTCCAAGCGCACAAGGTACAGTGGTGCAGGTTTCAGCAGCATCCAAGCATAGCACTGGTTCCAGCTGGGATCACAACCAGGGAATGCCCAATTGCTAAAAAGTGAACGACAGAAGAAACCATTGCCTTGTTCACAGGGTAACACCACCAAAGAGGATTTTAGACGTTTAAAGGCCAAATGCAAGCCCCTGAGATTTACAAAACAGAAAGCATCAGTACTCCTTGAGCGGGAAGGGGAGGAGAGGAGAGGACAGGCAGAGGCACCTCTCCTCTTTTTCATCACTGAAGCATTTGCTTAGTGGGAATTTTCATAAGCCCTCCCAACCAACACGTGCTCTTCTTTTCCTCCTTTTTAACCTCCTCGCAGCTCTCCTAAGGCTGTGTTATTCTTCCAGGCAGCAAGCACACCTAGTGTTTGACAGCTGAGGGTGAAATTGACACAAATAGGTTAATATTTCCTCTGACTCCTGCTATTTTAATGTACAACAACAACAAAAAAAACTCACCACCCCACCAGAACCCTTTCAGTGTCTTATGTGTCCTATATCTCAGGTCAATTGCAGTCAGTATACAAAATCTTCCTGACAAATTGCAATCCATGACAATGTGATTTCTATGGTATGAAATTCTGCAATGGCTAAGCACCAAGTTGAGAACTTCTGTTCATTTGATTTTCATCACCACAAACACACAGAATTCCAACTGCCATTCCATACTCTGAGGCACCAGTTAAGGCTTAAGAGAAGAAATGAAGTGAAGAATGCCTTCCCCATCCCTTGCCCCCAAAGGGCATTTCTGAATCTCAGCATAGTTCATTATGTGCAAGCTACAAATAAAATCATGATCCGCAAAAATAAAAGCATCTGTTTCCCACCCCCATCACATGCAGTATCCACAGTGCTTCTGCAGGATTTCCATGTATTTCCCCAAGGTGTGCTGCTGAACTTTGAGCACGGTTATAAGGAAACGTTCTGACACAAAGGAAGGCCTGAAGCTTTGCTAATCAAATGTGCGTTATTAACAGGAAACACCAGCAAGTGGCTCTTTAGCAGTGCATAAATGATTAAGTCAAGTCAGTCACAAGAGCCTGAAGGTACAAGAGCCTGAAAGCACACAGCTGACGTAAGATCCCTGTTGTAGGTACTCAACTGTTTTCTTCATTGTAAGCTGGAAGATGGACTAATTGACTGATCATCAAAATACCACCACTCTCCATTCCAGCTGGCAGCATGTGTCCTATTAAACTCATGATCCATCCAGAAATAAACGTTTCAAACATGGTGGCAATCAAGAGAAAGAAAACAATACAAAGAGATTAACAGTGACCGCAGTTAGCAGTGGCCAAAACTCATGTCAGGGTCCTGTGGACAACCTGGCTTACCTGGTAGGAGGAGCCTTATGATGGGAGAGGTTTCACTGGGTCATCAGTGCTCAAAGGTTATCCACTCTCCTCTAGGGTAAGTCACCATTCAGTTGCAGCCTGCCACCACTGAGGGTGCCATATGGCCTTGCTGGATGTTCACCCTGTGAAAAAATACTTGTAGCATTTCAACAGAATAAGAATAAATCTAATGTCCTGCCCTCATTTAATAAAAGAAGCTGTAAGCCTCAGAGGAGTGTAAGTGATGCTGAAGATGCATTTCAGTCTTGGTAGGAAACCTCTACTGTGAAAAGAGCAGGAGCAAAATGACAAGAGTTGTCCTGGCAGTCCTCGAGGGGGTGTTAATAATGAAGCAGAGGCAAGACCATGTAGACTGACTGCTCATCTCCTTCACTTCCTTTATCCAACATTCATCCTGACAAACTTCCACAGTACAGAAATGCAACTCTGAACTGAATCATTTCAGAAACAAGGCCCCAGGACAAGCCCTCAGCAAGCAGGTGGAGGGATGTATCTGGTCTCAGGCCAATCCACACATGCTGGGCTGCAGTAACTGAGATTAAGAACGGCATCAAGAGAGCAGGGAAGGATTTGATGGAGACAGAAAATTGACACAGGGAAGGGACAGTCAGCTGATGCTGGACACCCAGAATAATAACTCTGAAAACCTACAACCAACATCATTGCCTGCTCCCAACAGTTAGTCCAAAAGCTTGGAAGAGGCTCTCAGAAAGGAGAGCACAGGTCTCAGCTCAGTTCTGCAAAACACCCTCTTCAGAGAGGGCAGGGGCTCAACGTAGGTGAAGAATCCAGTGAGGCTGCCCAACATGGATGCTCCCCAGTCAGTATGGTGCACAGCGCAAAGTAAAACATACATGTATTAGCTGCGATCGGTTGCAGGTGCAAATGACACAAGATACTTGCACATATGGGATAGCTCAGCCACATTAGCTGTCTAAAAGAAAGAAAACCATGTGTGGAAAGCTGCCAACAAAAGTTTACTGTTGCCATATACACAGAGAATGCACCTAGCCTGGTGAAAGAAAACCAAACCAACAAAAGAAACAAAAGCAAAAAGCAGTATTTTTAGTCAGCCAGTATTCAAGTTCATCAATTGCAATGCTAAGGTGACTCATTACGAACCTGTGGTTTCATTCCTGGCAAAAGACAGGCCAGAATATTTCACTCCAGGGCACTCACTTATGAAGGTTTATTGGGTTACAGCAGCTCTTTGTAAAGTCACCTTGGACCCAGTATGTTTCAAGGCAAAACACACGGGTGTAACAACAGTCTGAAGGACTTGTTCCTGGCAGAGATTTGTCTAGTTTAACCCCCTTCTCTTGCTCTTCTGCATTAAGTGCTGTTATCAGAAGTCTTTTCATACTTCTAGATAAAGAAAATAAAAATACCTCTGAAAACATCCTTTCCCTTCTTAAGCTGAGATCACAGAGCAGCCTTGGTAAACTTTGTTTTCATTTTGGAAGTTACAACACACAGATCTACCTGCAAGGCATGGGCTGGCACACAGCCTTGGTGTTTACTTACACTACAGGAAAACCCACATGCCTCAGTCTGGAGATGAGGATCTGTGTACATAATATATACAGGGCCCCACTCCACAGCGTAGATTTCAGTCACACTCCAAAGACAAGAGTCAGGAAGCAGTAAGTAACCAAACAGCCACACTGTGAGTAACCTCCTCACCTCTCTCAGGTGATCACAGCAGGTTTTTATACCCCTTGTCACCCAAATGCGATGTCTGTCCAGCTCCAACCCGACACCCAAGGAATGCAGACACCCAAACAGGCTTGTGAATGCCGCAGTTGGAAGTGAATCCCTGGAAGTTTGGTATAGACAGCGTGTAGTATCTTTGCATCAAAGCTCCTTTACACACACAGGGATGCTTTACGATGTCCTTTGTATTCCCCTGTGCCACAGGGCTGTTACAAACACAACTGCAGTGCGGATGGCAGGGCACTCAAGTGTCATTAGAAAAAACAATAATCAAAAATACGACTCAAGAGCCATGCGAGTACCAGTGGTCAGGCCACAGACGGAAGCTGCAGCTCAGCACAGCTCCTCCCCACCTGCTGTTAAGCAGCCCAGCAAATACTAGCAGCTGCCTTCCTTCCAAGCAGAGCCCCAGGTTCTCCCAAGTCACAGTTCTGGGCTCACAGCACACAGGGGCAGTATGGAGCAACACATGTGCTCTGGTGAAGGAGGTGGGGAATGGGAAAGGATTAGGCAAGGGGTAACTTGCACCTTTAGCTCAAGAGAGAAGCCTTCATTTAAGTGTGCCCTCAACAGCTCCATCACAGCCCATACAGCCAAGAACTTATATTAGTCTTCTATTTTAGGGTGGATTCAGTCAATTTATAACCACAGGATGCAATAAATGAAGATCCTGATGCTGTTTCTACTGATCAGTTAAATCCCTTTGGAGCCAAGCAAGTTTCTTCATTAACATCTACACCATTAAAACCAATTTTTTTCTAGCTGTTTTCATGAGCACTTGTGAAGTGCTATTAATACACAGATGGCACAGAGGTACTGCAGGGAAATCCAACAGCTGCAGTGCATGTTTTCTCATGCACAACTTCCACACCCTTCCTCTTTGAGAGTTTCAATCTCACTTGATGCACCATGCTCAGCAGTGATGCCTGTGCTCTGGGGTAAGCCAGACTGACCAAAAAGTGATGAGACCAAAACAGGCGAGCAATTTCTGCCTCAGCTCTGCAGAGGATTCTTCTCTCCTTGATCCATCTAATGAGTTACATGAGTTATGTTACTTTTACACCCCACCCGACTTGCTTCAGCTTATTAAGAGGAGGCTAAAATGACACTAACAAAATCCACCTCCTGTGGGGAAAAATGACGAGCGTTTTCATTTCTCAGCATTAGACACCTTCAGAAGGAAGGGAAAGAAAAAGGCAGCATCATTGCTCTGCTCTCACGATTTCATTGCTATTTGATCATTGTCACATCATCTCTTATTTTCTCTTGCCCACCTAAAATAGAACTTTACAAGATGTGAACAAGCTGCAAAAGGAGCCTCAGAGGAAAGATACATTATAGAACTTCTCAGGCAGGGGTATTTCTTTCCTGGATACCTCTTGTTAGTGTTTCCTGCTGAGTGATCTTGAGCACTGAATTTGGTTGCCATCACACAGTATGCGGTAGCTCAATTCTTATGGGTTTTTTTGTTTGCTTTGCACAAGTGTCATTAACAGCACCTTGTATTCTATTTCTGACTGTTGATCTGAATACAGCTTCTGTTTCTTTTGCCAGCTTTACATACTAAATGTCAGCTTTGTGTCTAATCACATGCCTCGCAAACACACGCAAGATAAACAAAAACTGCACACTGGAGGCATGTCAGAGTGAAAACACAAACTGTTTGCAGCATTAAGCTGAGATGGGGATTCTAACTAAATGAGCTCTCTAGAGCATGGGTCAGCTTCCCAAAATAGTCTTAGAGAAAGCTACACTTCTGCCATCCCTACACCCCACCAAGCATCAGCTGTTTTGAAACAGTAACACTTCCTACAGTCCAGTGCTGTAGAACACTGACAGTTTGCCTTGAAGGGACAGCAGGTATGGTACTATCCTATAAAACAAGGAAAGCAGATGATTGTGCGGATCGAAAGCAGGCTCCCTTCCTCCTCCAAGATGAGACAAGATGGCTCAACCCCATCAGGGGAGTTGTAGGCAATATCCTAGCACAGGGACCTTTAAATCAAGTCTCCCCTTTCCAGCTCGTCCAGAGCAGTTACTGAGGCATCATTAGTCCACACTGAGCACCAGGATTAACTGGATGAAGGCAGACAACCTCCTAATGTTTAAATGTTAAGAAAACCATAGCTTCCCATTTGCAGCACAGACCAGCTAATACTGCAGAGGTGAGATCTGACTGTTCCAAATGCCAAATCCACAACCACAATGTACTCAGTCAGTTATTCAGGCCTGACAGTCATTATAATCCTTATTTCACTATTCTCTAACTCAACTTTGAATGTAAGATGCTTGGCTTGCACCAAATAACCTAGATTAATAGCTAACATTGTAAAAGCTCATAGTTTAAAGTATCTATGGTACTACCGAAGAAAAAGCAGAAATCTGACCTGTGCAGCCTCTTTGGTCACTGTCCAACTGGAGTCAAAGCAAAATTTGACCAAATGTTGTACTGTTATGGGAAGCTTCACTTCTCCAAGCTAGCTTAAGTATCACCCTTATCTTTCAACAAAAGACAGGAACAAAATGCAGCAGCAAGGCACGTGAATCGAATTATACATGTAAGGATGCACACAGGTTCTGTGGCACCAGCAACAGGGTGAAAAGAAACTGCTCTGCCTCTGGAAGGAGACTGTTTCAGTTCAGTGAGCAGGTTGATAACTCCAAGGCTACAAGACAGACTACACTCGGGAGTACAAGATGCATTTTCTTTTACCAGTAGTTGACAGAAGGCAGTTCAGATACTGCTTTCCACAGGATACCAAATTAGCATAAACAAAAGTCATGGCTAATGAGATTATATAGCACCAGAGCAAGTCAAACACTACGGAAAGCATGTAAGCCATGTAGCTCAAAGGAAGCCACACGGTCGTGTTTGCTTCTCTCCTGTTCTACCTTGCTTGAACACCTACTGTGTCTGTATGAACAGCTTGGCCTAGTACCTCCTCCCTCAATCCCCTCCCATCCTGGCCTGGTACCTGCCTTGAGGAAGAAGAGCCAATATCCCACCACATACTTTGTACTTCCCCCTTCTGCTTGGTTGCCTACCTAGGTGGCCATAAAGGGCATGGCACACCAGCTAACCCTTCTGCAGCCATGAAGAAATTGAGTTCTTTTGTATTGCTCCTTATAGCCAGCTACAGCCAGACCACAACACTGTGCAGACAGAAACCCGTTCAACGGTGAGAAACAGTCTTTTTCTTCATGAACAGGTCACAGACCCCATCAAATTGAACAGACTAATGAAACATCCACATGTCTGTTTTGCTTCACTGACCTAATCCGTTTGCTAATCGCTTTGGGGTTTAGGATATCAGAAAATCCCATAGCCAGTCTCTTGCTCAGTGTCACAGAGCCAAGCTCTCCTTATCTTGCAGCTTTCCATGGAGCATGAAGTTAAGCAAGATTCCCT